CCTCGATTGAAGAAATCACAGGTCTAGCAAAAACAGGACAAAACAAAACAAACATCTCCCAACAAAAACAAATACCAACAATGATTAACCATGTTAATTTTTCTTATATTACAGTATTCAAAATCCTTGTATCATTGGCATAAATCCAACTTGTTCATAATAAGGGATATTTTAAAAAATCCTGCTTTTTCTATGTTAAATTTTTAGAAATGTTGAATCAACATTCATTAATGAAATCAGTCTATAATACTCTTTCTTACCTTCATAGATTGGGTATTGAGAATATAAATGTCTCATAACAAAAGTTCAGTAGAATGCCTACTCTTTAATTATTGATAATAGTACTTAAAGAATAATTATTAATTTTTCTTAAGCATTTGCTAGAAATCACTTGTAAATCCATTTGGATGGAGAATTCCCTCCCTCTTCTGTTTTGTTAGTTCATTTAGAGCTTTCTAATTTATTTTTCTTGAATTGGTTACTTTTAAGATCTCTATTCCTTATTTTGTTAATTTGGGCATTTTCTATTTTTATATAGATTATCATCCATCACATTAAATTGACAGTATGAATGGGTTATAATTTCTAATACTTCTCTTTATTTCTTGTCAATTTGCTATGAATTTACCTTATTCATTTTTTCAAATTTCAGTAATTTAATTGTATCCTTTTTTTTTCCTTTTTGGATCATTATCTAATATCAATCCTGTTAGTCTTTAAAAATAGTTCTTTATTTTATTTACTGATTCTACAGTTTTTATTTCTCCCCTCATCTTCAACGTTTATTTGTGTGTGTTTTGGTATTGTTAATCTCTTCATTTTGAAGTATTTTTATTGTGCGTTGTTCATAAATCCTCTTGATTTTGTTATTGTTTGTTTTCAGATATATACTTTCTCTTTTGATTACTTCTTAATGGAGAATATTTAGGTAGAGTATCTCATAGGTATAGTACTTTTTAACATATTAATGGTTTTCTTTGACTTACTCATTATTTGGGATAGTTTGCTTCATTTTCATTTTAGACTACATATTTTATGTTTTCTTCATTGATTATTAACTTTATTGTGAAATTGTCTGTAAAGAATGTGTTTAATTCTCAGATTCTCAGTGGTGAAGAGGGGAGGGCACTCTATAGTTTCCTGGTTTTTATAACACTGGTCTCCTTTTCTCATGAATGATATCACTCCTTAAATCACCTGCAATAACTTCAGCCTTGTTTTAATGTCATTGTCTAAGGAAGAAACATGTGCAGGGAAGTAGCCCCACCATTTCCCTTCCACCCAACATTGATTACAGATGCATCGCCACTAACTTGGCAGGTATGTGAGTCTGGCTAGAACAGCACGGCACCCTGAAGAAAAGACAGGAGGGTTTTGCCAGGAAAGTCAAACCACTGTCATCTTTATTACCACTTCCCCTTAGACCCAGCAGTCTTGAAGACAGTCAAGAACCATGTGCCCACAGTCCTGAGAATAGCAGCACTGCCCAGAACATGAGCCTTGCTTCCAAACTAACACACCTGCCAGCCATTACCTTGTGGAAAAGTGGTCCATTATTCCTCTTCCCTCAGCAATCGCTGGCCAACTACCAACAAGGTGAAGGTAATCTCAAGCAAGCATTTCCTCCCAGGCTAGCCTCTGCTTCCAGCCCAGCCCTTACAGTCATCATTCAGAGGAGGAATCCTTTATGTAAATGTAACCTAGCTACTGCTTCTGTAGGTACTGCCACATCCTTAGCAATCAACTCCTGAGGATTCAAAAAAGAAAGTTGTCTCCATTAAAATCTTTGACACTGTCAAATGGATTCGGCTTTACTAATAGCAGTGATACTAAAGAAGACTCATTAGCACCTACTTTGGGCTAGGCACTAAGAACTACTGGGTTTTTCTTCCTGACTTGCAGCAAAGACTGTCTATATGTGTTGTCTCTCACTGTCCAACCCACACAATAGAATAAGAGGTCTTTGAAAACATTGACTACCTTGATTTTCTATTTCAATCCTCAGCATTTAGGGCATATAATTAGCACTTAAGTTATGCTTCATTCATTCAATTAACATTTATATTTTTTATACTTATTTTTTCTCAGCATCCTGGAATAGGATCTCATTTCAGAAATGTATCAATTGTGTTTAGATATATGTACATTCTTTGATAATTTCCTTTGGAAATCACCAGGTCTTCAAATTTAGGAGTTTTATTTTCTGAAAAAAACAATTCCACTCTGTTTTCCTTCTTATTTATTTTTCTGTTAGATATATTCAACTCTGAAAGAAGCATATTAAAATCTCTAATAATTATTCTATTACTGTATTCATTTTCTAAAAAGTTGAATTATCTTTAATTTCAGAACTGTGATATTAAGATAATGAATATGTATGCATTTATATATATATATATACATACACACATACACACATATCTTTCCAGTTAATCATGCTGTCACAAGATACTATAGTAGACATGCTAGGAACGTGAAAAATTTTAAATAGTTCCTGTCATCAGTAAGCTTACATTATTTTGGAAGAATGGTATTTCCTGCACAGGATTCATATCTTTCTCCTCCTGTTTAATGTACAGTTATGTTTTCCCTCTGGAACACCTTCTTCCTTACCAATTATCAATCTAAACCTGCTCTTAGGAAATATTGCATTATTTCTTGGCACAGATCACTTCAATCTAGTGTTCTTTTCACCATGATATTTTCTGTTTTAGTGTCCCTTTTTTCCTTTTTTCTTTTTCTTATTCCTTTTTCTTTTCCTTTCTTTTTTTTTTTTAACAGATTATACAATCACACATATAACTCTTACTAGAAGTCTGGATCATGAAGTTGATATAAATATATATATATATATATATATATATTTTGTCTTAAGGTTTTTTTAGGCTTATATTAAGGGAATAGGAATCAAAATAGGGGTAGCACTGTATCTCAGCTGGGTGGTATGATCATAGCAACTAATAGAGAGAAGGCAGAATTGATTGACTTACATTGCTCCTATTTTCTGCTAAAGAAAGTTATCTTTGTATTGGACAGAACACAAATGGTTAATAGGGAGTTTGGACCCAAGATAAATAAAGACACATGTGAAAAAGAACACATTCAAATAGCTAGTTTTGGATGACCTATATCCCAGGGTATTGAAAGATCTGACACATTAGATTGCTGAGCTATTTTTTGATGATCATTGAAAAAATCTCTGAAAGAATTTGATTAGTGTTGCATGACCAGAAAAGGCTAATGTCTTGATTTTCAAAAAGGAAAGTGTTATCAAATCAGGAAACCGTCAACAAGTGATACTGATTAATGTGGTAAAATAGAAAGAACAATCTGAAAACAGAGCACCTATGTTCATCTTCCACATCTGACCCTACCTTTGTGACCTTGGGCAAGTCAATAGGGACTATGATTCTGCTAATAAAACATAAAAAGTCATTTAAGTACTTTTTTTTTTCAGTTTAACTGGGATGATTATAAGTTATTCTCTGATCAATCTATTTCCAAGCCTGGCTTAAGGAGTCAAATGCAAGGTAGGTAATTTACAGTTGAAGGTGACACCTGTACTATGAAACACAAATGAAAACACTTCATTATATGGATCAGTGATCATATGTGGTGTGTAATAGGTATCTGAATAAGAATATAATGAGTGAGTAATCAGAAAACCACCTTGAAAGCAAACTATGTAGAAATTTGGTAAAGGGGAGAGTGAGTGGGAGTGTGAGAGAAGGCCTTTTTAAGTGTACAATGAAATGATTTCTTAAGGGATTGGAATTCAGTCACCAATTGCAAAGTGAAAATATGACTTAATTTTGAAATACTCATTTTGAATCAATAATTCTACTTATTTAATTTTAAATGTTGGACTTTTGACTGTGCCTAAATTCATTGCATAAAATGATTGTGACCTGGAAATACTGAGCAAGCAGTCTTTAGATTTCTTAAATTTTCCATAAAACATTAACTTTCACAATTAGTTTAAATACTGAATTTCTACTTTGTATTGTTAGACAAAAGCCTAGAAAACTGTGTTTGAAAAATTAAAACTTTATAAAAAGTTCTCCTTATTCACTTCTATGTGTTTCAAATAAATTTACTTATGATTCAGAAAAATATTTCTAACAGAATATCATTCTTTTCTAGCATTCAGGAAAATATTTCTTTATTAAGTATAGCTATTCTACAATGAATCACATGTACAAGATCTTGAATATTACACAGGTAATCTACTTCAGAAAAAAAAAAACAATGTCTTGGACTGGTAGCTGTTTTTCTGATTGAATCTTTTGAAAGAAATAGTCATTAAGATATCCTCAAGGCACACACATTTCTTTTACTCATTGAAAAGAAACAATGGCAAAACCTAAGAATTCTGCAAATTAATGGTGAACGTTGGTCCGTGAAGAGTTATTTTCAAAATAATTATAACAAAGAAGAGATGAAATGTTACTTTAAAAATTAAATGATAACCCACTAAAAGGTTGCAGAAAATATATTAAAGTTGTTCATATTTATGGTTAATAATTTAAACATCTAAGTTTTAAATTTATATTTGAAACTCAAACTTCAGGATTTGGAGGAAAGTCCATAGTAAGTAATTATCTTTAAGAAACTAAAATGTAGCATATTTCATTTTATCTACATTATTCTTACATACAAAAATATGTATCGTTAGAATCAATTGCCATATGAGAGAAGATGCATTTTTTAATTGAAAAAAAAAGACAGATTAAAAAGTGTCTGCGGATTCTTGCAACAGTACAAGAATACACGATGTTTTAATTTATTAAAAATGTAAAGCAAATTGTGAAAAGCAAAAGCAGGCTAAAAAACAGGAAGGTGCTCTATTGCCTTTCCCTTACTTAGTCATGTTACAAGATGATGTGACACAGTAGATAAATGCTATTATTTGAGAATATAGATTTTAAACATCCCATCCCAAGCACTAGGCAAAAAAAAATGTATGTACACATATATTTGTATACTTTTTCTCCATCAAGTATCACAATCTTGTTGTTACATAGTCTTCATGTATCACTGTCTCTGTGATTTTTAACTCATAGTCTTTAGCACTGGCCTCTTCCTTGGCATGCATGTCCTTTGGTATTATGGGCACAGTGTCCTCTACCACCAACTTCTCTGATTCCAAGGTGCAAAGGCTCTCGCTGAAGTGTAAATTCAAAGTCTCTCTGCTCCTTCTTTTCATGTCTGCTAATACACAGTGTTCACTGAGGCCTGGGATGCTCCGTTCACCTTTGCTGGGTAGTCCTCTTGCTTCCAGGTGAAAATGTTTCCCAAGTTCTTCATCTGCCTGTTGACGTGAAACTTCCTCCGAAACCGAGAAGATCTGGTCGGTGTTTGCTTCAGCAGAGTGTGGTTTCGAGCGCTTATGAAACAGCCCAAAGTGTTTGACATCGGTCACGAAGTTCACTTTCTTCTGCTTCTCTCTGGGGGTTTCATGAACCATCAGGGCAGCACCATTGCTCACGTTATGTCTTTCTGAAGCTATGGCTGCTGACCTTGGATGAATCATGCTGGTTATGTCAAAGAGGCTGAAATTCTTTTTCTTTGTCTTGTCACTCCCTTCACTCTCACTCTTCTCTTCAGTCTCCAGTGGAGGTTCCTTTACAATTTTTGAAGATCGTAAAGAAGCAAGCTTACTTCCTTTTAGCAATCCTAGCACTTCAAAACGGAAGCTGGAAATGTCTTGTTTTAGCTCCTAAAATCATTAGAAGAAAAAAAAAAAAGAGGGAGGGAGTAGAATCAGTTTAGGATTTTCATGAAGAAATGTGAGAAATAATTTGGGTTCATTTCACAATTATGATGGACAGGTTTATATCCATTGTCAGGAAGTTATTTGCTATTTTTGCTGAAATCAGATATCCCAGCTATCGTCATCATCACCATTGCTGACATTTATATGACTAAATATCACTAAAACGACATTTCTAGAACACCTGAGTTTGAGGTATCCACATGAAAGATGCCAGGGACTTGCTTTTGGGAGAAAGCATCTTAGATAGGCCTACCATGTGGATAGGAATATTCTTCTTCCATTGCCTACATAACTGGGACTGCCTACATCCTTAACACTACCTAACTGGGACAGTCTCACTTTATTTATAGTGGTATCTCATTCACCCACGGTAGGGGCACCATACAATAATCTGGGAAAGGAAGAATCATTTTCCTCTTAGGCCCTGCAGTCCCTGGAAAGGTGGTATTGAGGTTTTTGGTCTGTTTTTTTTTTTTTTTTGTCCTTTTAGGTTCTAAGTATAAGAGATGGAGTCACTGGACTTGGAAGCTCAGGCCATCTGGGCTTTGGAGCCCAGGATTCTAGCCTAGAAGGGAAGCCCAGAGAGGCCAGGGTCCCTATGTACATGATTAGCAGGGCGTTTTGGACTTGGAACTTAGTGGGTCTGATGCAACTTAAAAGCTGAACTAAGTTGTAAACCTAATCCTCACATCCTCCCCAGACACTGAGGTGATGGGGGAAGGAGAACTATGATCTGGAAGTGTTAGGAGGGATGTTTATATGTTTATTCTTGTTATATTTTTTTATATTCCTTTGTTAAAGAGAATATAATTGTTAAATGATTAAATTGAACCAGAATGCGGGGAACCTCTAAAATTGAGGGTAGAATCATTGAGGACTTGGGCCAGTGGCAGAGACTAAAAACCTTCTTAAAGGTATTGAAGAACCCTGGGGGAAGGAGTGAAATACCTGGTCTTCAGGGAGTGTTGGGGGAGCAGGTTGGGAATACAGAGAGTCACCGTCAACAACAAATTTTTTTCGACTTGCAAAGCCTTTAAGATTTTATGTACATTTTCCCATTTGATCATCACAACAATATTGTAGGTACTATTGCCATCTGAATTTTACAGATGAGAAAACTGAGGCTTAAAGGCCATGACTTGCCAGGGTTACACAGCGAGTAAGTATCCAAGGCAGAATTCAAGTTTAGGGCTTCCTAACTCCCAGCTCTATTCACTAAGGCACCATGCAATTTTGTAATGTTTAGAAATGCCTTGAATTCTCAATTCTGTTGTGTTGCTTCGTAGTAACTTTGTGATCTGACAACTGTTTGACAATTGGCAAGTCATTTTATCTCTTGGTGTCTTAGTTTGCTCAACTGTAAAATGAAGACGTTAGATCGTTTAACCTACAAGATCCCTTTCCACTCCCAAAATTTGTGGGCTTGTATTGCTAAGATTAATGAGACATATGATCATTGCTCTACTTTAGGGGGAAAAATAAAAAGACCTATCAGGTACTTGGGACAAAGGCTTATCTTGGGATTTTGTTGCCTTTCCTTTTTTTCCCTTTCCTTCCCTTCTCTCCAGAAAGTTCTTTGTACATATTACCCTCATGTGTAGGAGATTCCAAAATCTTTATCTCCAGGGTTAGTTTCTTATTCACTCACAGGTCCATAATTTCTCAAAATATTTTCAAACGTTGTATAGGGGATCACATTTATTTATCTAAATTAAATAATATCTAAAATAGAGTTTTAGCTCCCATCCTTGCTAGTTTGCCATCAATGTTAATTTTTAATCTTCTGGTCCCCAGGTTTATTACCTTGAAACAGACATTAATTTCTAACTTTAATTTGCCTCTTATGTTCTATTATGTTCTATTACTAAATTCTGCTTATGCTTTAGGGTCTTCTTGACCATCTACCTACTGAATGTGTTCCACATCCCAGGACATCCCCTGTCAGGTTCTCGGTTCCACTTAAGCAAACTTTACTCATGACTCATAGGTTTTCTCTTCTAATTTTTCCCATGCGTTATTTTCCCATGTTAGGATGAGACTCTGATTCTTTTTATCAGTAGGTCTTTAATAAATGTTTTGTTGATTATACCGATGTTCTATCTGTCTTTGTTAATTTCCTTCAATATATTATAAAACTTTTTTTTGTTTTGTTTTACCGAGAGTACTTTATTTGCTGGTATAAGTATTATAAAACTTCTTAAAGGCACCCTCCTTACTCTTCTTCAATACAACCTACTATAGTGCTTTACAGTAAGTCAACCCACAAACAGTACTTAGTATGTGTATAACAAAAAGGACTCAGTTGTGTACTGAATAACAACATTTCATGTCTGAAAAATATAAAGTCAAGATTTTGGGGAAAATAAAAATCTTGATGTTTTACCTGGAGTAAAACAGACCAAAACCCTATGAGGTCCTCTGTATTGTGACTATTCTAAGTATTCTGAGAAGTGGCAGTAAATTAAAGTTGTAGTAAATGGGATCCAGTATGTAACTTAGTCTTTATTATTATTTTGGCAGTCTTCCATTGGAAACTACGAAGACATTCAAGGCTGCTGGGACACAAGTGATTTAGTCGTGTTTTAGGGTCTTATTATATGAAAATTAGGACATGCTGTGTTTTGTCCAGTTATTAAAAGAATTCAGTTTCTCTTGTAATGGTGAACATAGAAATGGTTACCTTAAAGTTTTCCTCGGTAAGGCCTTCTTCGGTTTTAGCATCTCTAATCATTGCTGCAACATATCTCTTCACCAAGTTCCTCATAACTTCCTAAGACATTTAATAACAATAGCACTGATATTAAATTGCCAGTTATGGTTTCTGTTTTAAGCCCCCATTGAAAATAATATATCGCAAACCCTTAAATTAACATACAATTATAATAGGTGACTTACCTGGTACTGATGATGTCTTCTTAAATTATCAGCTGTTCGCCTCTGAAAAGGAAAGAGATATTTGCTTACACGTCAAGTAGCTTTTTTTTTTAGCAAGAATTATAAGAGGACACAGAAATAATAAATAGTAAAGGAACATAAGCATCAATATGGGAAATAAGACATAAACTGAAAGAACAGAGGCTGATTTTTTAAATATGCTAGAATTACAGGAAAACAAAAGAAGCATTATTTGTCTAACAGATGATAATGGATAAATAATCATAGATGACAGAAAGCAGGAAACATTTATTACTATGTTCACAAAAAACATAAAAGGGAGGCAGAAACTAGAAAAAAGTCCAAGTGTTCGGTAGGAAACCAAGCCAGATAGGGAAGCCCTAATGATAGACCTTTTGGGGCGAAAAAAAAGAGTTAACTCTGTAAAAACATGATGACACTGGTAACATCCTCTTAAGACACTGAAGGAATTGGGCAATACCTATAATAATATAGGAGGGAGATTATACCTAAAGACTGAGATAAGCCTATTACCATTGCTATACTTAGAAAAAAATTGAAAAGAAGTGACACAGGTTATACAATATTAAAAAAAAACCCAATTCACAATACTAATTTCAAACATTCTGAATATACCTTTATAACTGAGTAATAACTATCTACTTTACTAATAAAATAAAGGATCTTGATTTTAGCAAGGTTGGTTTTTTTTTTAATTCTTCCTCATGATAGGCCGTGAAAGCAGGCAAAATAGAATTCTAATAAGAGACAAGTCCACGAATAATCAGATTCATACTTCAACAAAGTATTCACAAGATACACATTTTATTTCCTTGAGTGGAAAGACTGGATGTGATTCTCCACTGGCCATGAAAAATGCATTTGTGATTCAGGATGATTAGTATAATTCTAAGGAACAGATGGGCCAGAATCTGGCTTGCTAAACGCATATGAGTGAAAGCCATTAATTATTTTGAACACCATTCAATTTCTCATGTAATTTATGGATTTTTAAATGTGATAAGAGTACTTAGAACCCAAAGGAATCTTAAACTGGAGTTTTAAAGGTGATAACTTCTATAAGATCTATATAAAATCAGAACAAATTTGAACAAATTGAGTATGCAATGTTTAAAAATCAACCACCAGATGGAGTTATTGGATTCTTAATGAGACGGTCCAAAAACAATTCAAGAGCATTAGTAATGCCATGAGCAATAGTACTTGGCGTAAATAGGCAAAGGACTTGATCCTTCCAGATTTACTTAAATTAACTTAAATTTGAAGAACTAAAATAACTCTAATTTTATACCGAGTTCTTTAACAATATTCTTGCAAATAAGTTTTACTTAATTAACAAGTGTTCATACTATGCTAAGTGCTGTGGATACAAAGAAAAACAAAACAGAACAAAAAAACAATCTCTGGCTTCAAGGAGTTTACATGGCAATGAAGAAAAATAATATGTATGTATGCATCTATGCACGTACATAGGTATGTATATGTACATACACACATATGCATACCCAAATGTTGATGCACATATATGTATCTTCAATACATGTATGTACACACATACATGCACATATATACTTATGTGTACCTGGATATGGATACACATGTGCATGCATACACATATAAACATATGAATGTATATCTATATAAAGCATATATTATGTACATTATAACATAAAATACATTGAAGACAATAAGATATATGATGTATATGCATGTATATATACATGTACATACATACATACACACACACTTTTCCATAGGGAAGGTAAATTTAATGTAGAAAGATGTTTTATTCTTCATCACACACGATAGGGGATCCAGATTGAGAACTGGATGGGACCTTAAAAGTCATCTAGTCCAAACAGCTCATTTTACAAATGAAAAAACTAAGAGTGAGAGAGGTTAAGTTATTCATTCAAGGTCACCTATGTAGTAAAATAGAAGAGTCAGGAATTGAATCCAGTTCCTTTGACTCTAATTTCATCACTTTCTATTGCAACACATGTTTCAGCTCTGGATTTATGATATTACTCTGGATTTCTGACTATTGTAATTTTGGATTTTCTCATACTATTAGTCGTTTTGTTCATTTATACACAGATACTAATTAAGTATCTTCAGGAATGCAGGTTCATTGTGGTATGAATAATAACAAATAATTTTATTTGTATTTGACTTTGGAATAAGTGTTACGTTATTTTGGAGATCCCATAATTCAATCTCTTTTGTTTTGTAGATGAGGAAATTGGAGTCCTACATAACTGAAATAATGTACTCGAGGTCACAAAGCATGTTAATGACAAAGGCAGAACAAAAACCTATATGTCCTAATTCCTAATCCAGTATTACTCAATTATGCAATACACAGAGAAAAATGAGTATAGTTGGTACCTACAGTCCATCTCCTTGACTTTCCAATCCTGATTCATCTTTATTCAAGACTCAACTGCCTGGTTACATTCAGTGAGCATTCCTCTCAGTTGGATTAGAATAGGTAGGCATACTCCATGGTGGTTCTTATAGACCCCAACCTTTTTATTATTTTTTTAAATTCTTTTTTATCTTTTTAGGCAATTGGGGTTAAGTGACTTGCCCAGGGTCACACAGCTAGTAAATGTCACTATCCTGAGTCTGAGGCAGGGTGTGAACTAAGGTTTCCTGATTCCAAGTCCAACATTCAATCCATTGCCCCATCTCACTGCCTCCTAAATAACTTTCTAAAAATACAGAGGAAATGGGATATCCTAAAGAAAAAGATAGAATAAGTCAGACTTAAGAAAACTTCTGAAAAGTAGAGGATTTATAAAAATCTCTAATATACACTGGAGGCAGAGCACAAGACCACCAAAGGTGTGGCCTAGAGTGCCAACTATTAGGGGTCTGGGATCCTTCTCATTCCTACCTCTTATCTTAGGCAACTTTTTGAGAATCTTTTGGTTCTCTGTCATCTCTCATTTTTTTGGCCCCTCATCACAGTCAAGCATGTCACCTTCATCCCCAATCTGAACAGCAGAGATTGGGAAAAGGCTAGATTCTCTAGCAACATGCCACTCCTCTCTGTAAGTAACAACCCTTGTCAGACTATCCTTGTGTTGCCAATGCCCCTTCGTTTCAACTATTTTGACCCATATGAAAAAAAAATTCCTAAAGATTTATTGTTACATAATGAAATGGGGGATTTACTGCCATCCATGAGTAATGTAAATGAGGGAGGGACCATAAGAATGGCTGAATTCTCAGACACGTATTTGAAAAGCATTTTATTAACACTTCAAAATAGCCTCTTAAATATTAAAGCATATTTTATTCATTTCTTATGAAAAGCCATATTTATAATAGCATTTTAAAATGATTTCTATCCTAGCCTGATAACTATTTGCATTGGTTGTTGAAGCAATTTTCTTCACTTTTATGACAGAAGGGCCTAGTCAAGGCCACTTCTATAGGGAGATGCTGATGGTCAGTCTAGATCAAAACTTCATAATCTGGAATCCACAGACTGACATCGGCCATGCACTGTGAACGTGCATGGAAAGAAAAAAAAGTTACGTTCTTATTTTCACTAAGCTTTCATGAAAAACTAGCATTTTCTTCAATTATGAATGTAGGTAACAAACATTATTATGAGAAGAGGTCTGTAGGCTTCACCAGATGGCCAAAGGGGCCCATGACACACAAAAAGATTAAAAACACCTGTTAAGAACATTAAGCGGAGGTGACGAACTAGTAAAATGGAGTGAAAAGAGGTCCTTGAGCTATTGCTATTAGGCACTTCAGAGTGTTCATATGATGTTTACGAAGGCTGAAGACATTGAAAGCGAAGTAAAACATGTTTTAAAGCATTTTGTAGGGACAAATGACATGGTCTAGCCAATGGCCTTTTCTCAGTCTTGACTTCTCTGTAGCCTCTGATGCTCTTGGTGATCCTTTTCTAGTGGATACTCTTCTTTCTAGGTTGTCATGACACCTGGTTCTCCTCCTACCTGTCTGGCTGCTCCTTCTCAGTTTTGCCCGGATCTTCATGAAGGTCATTCACACTCACCATAAATATTTCCCATGACTTGGTCCTTGTCTCTCTTCTCTTCTTTCCTCTATATTCTTTTTTTGTTTTTTTTTGTTTTGTTTTTACTTTTTGCTGGGGCAATTGGAGTTTTTGCCAAGCTCAATACTTTATCTCTTACCTCTGGATTCTTGCTCCCAGAATGAGTACCTTTTTCATCTTTGATTTTCAGAATCCTTGTCCTCCTTCGAGGCTGAACTCAACTGTCACCTCCTATGTGAAATCTTCCTTGATCCCCTCTAATTGTCAAAGCTCACTCACTCCCTGCTTTTTTCTCTTGATTTTAGTTATTTTTGTGATGTCTGTCCCACAGAGTCAAGTGTAAGTTCTTTGAGGACAGGGATGGTCTTGTTTTTAATCTTTGTGTACTCATCACCTAGCATAATGCTTTATATGTAATAATAATCCTAATCATAATAACTTACTTATGGATAGCTTACTACATGCCAGGCACTATGCTAAGTGCTTTACAAATATTATCTCATTTGTCCTCAAAACAACTCTGGGAGGTAGGTGCTATTATTGTCCTCATTTTACAGATGAGGAAATCGAGGCAAACAGAGGTTAAGTGATTTGCTCAGGGTCACATAGCTAGCAAGTGTCTGGGGCTGAATTTAAACTCAGCTCTTCTTGATTACAGGCCCTACACTCTATTCACTGTGCCACCTAGTAGTATACACTTAATAAATGCTTGTTGAATGGCTGCCCGGATGGCATGCTAATTAAAGCCTTATGTACAAAATGCTCCTGGCAGTCTTATTTTTTAAAGGCAAGGGGCACCCACTTTGGTCAGGACTTATATTCTACGAACGTAAGCAACTAATTGTAGCTTCATCCTGATTATCTGGGAGCAGAGAACAGAGAAACCTAAATTTTAGCACTAATGCCAAAGGGAACCTCTCAGTGGAGAGAAGACTGCCCAGAAATATGTGATGCTGTGGTATAACTTAGGGCTTTTGATAAA